GAGGAGGGGGGGGAGGAGGAGGAGGAGGGAGGAGGAGGAGGAGGAGGAGAGGAGGAGGAGGAGGGGGAGGAGGAGGAGGAGGAGGAGGAGAGGAGGAGGAGGGGGAGGGGGGGAGGGGGAGGGAGAGAGGAGGAGGAGGAGGAGGAGGAGGAGGAGGGAGGAGGAGGAGGAGGAGGAGGAGGAGGAGGAGGGGAGGAGGGAGGAGAGAGGAGGAGGAGGAGGAGGAGGAGGAGAGGAGGAGGAGGAGAGGAGAGGAGAGGAGGAGGAGGAGGAGGAGGAGGAGGAGGATGGGGGGGGGAGGGCGGAGGAACGCCTGTCTGCGCCCTAAACTACTTCCAGTTCGTCCAGCGGGCAAGCGGGCTCAAGGTGGGTAGTGGGGGGGGGGGGGGGTCGCTGTGCGTCTGGAGGATCTGGTCCGCCACAGATCTTTGAAATGCAATGCCGAGGATGCCCCGCCATCTGTGCAATAGGCCCAGCGCCGTGCCACGTCGTATCGCACCAGTTAGCGCGCGGCGCCGTTCTCGAGCGAGAGCCGTCGCAAGGGCAATTGATTGCTTTCCCCATCTGCCGTAAGTCTCTGCCCCGCGGCATTGTAGCGATCCCAAGCCCGTGGTTGTGACATCGTCGTGCGTCCTGTTGTTGCTGCGTTCGGCTGTTTCCAGAAGTCGTCCGCCGCGGTAACTGGCCCCTGGCCTCGGGGCTCCATTGCCGCTCATGGGGTGCAGAACCGTCACATCACAAAACAATGTCAATCCTTGTTCCACATGGAGACCTGGCGCTACAAGGTCCAAGCGCCTTTGGCCCCCGGGGGGGGGGGGGGCAGGTATATGCGCGCCCCGTTGTGCAAGAGTGGCGCGCGCTTAATCGAGAGCTTCCCTCGCGCGAGGGAAAGGCAAACTTGTTTGAGAGGTCAATCAGAGAGTCGGACCAATTGACACCTGCATTGTAGAGCCTCCAGCCCGCGTGCGCGCTGCCAGTGCATCCTCGCGCCTCCGAAAGCGCCTGGCCGTGCTCGCATGCAGACTGTTCAAACTTGGGGCCCATGTCGAGTGTGCCCGCGTAGAAGCCCTTGCCGAAATAAAAGATCTAACCCGCGACCGACGCTTTCCCCCTCGGGCCCAGGAGTCGTCGCTTTCGGATTCGAAAATCCACAAACAAAATCCCATATCGTCAGATCAAACCGCGGGGGGCAATTATGGGGCACCTGCTGCGCGCGCGCCGTCGACGACCGAGGCGTCAGCCCGATGCCCCGCCTTTCTGTCTGCAGCGCGCGGTTCCGTGAGACCACTGATGCGCGCGCGCCGCGATTCAAGCGGCAGCGCCCAGCTCGGGGCACCTCGTCGCGCGGGGGCGCGCGCAACATACTTCCCGCGCAACGCTTAATCCAGCGGACCTTCGTGGGCGCGCGCGCGATCAGCGAGCCCGCCCGAACTCGGGGCTTGCGCGTGGCATCTGATTGCCTGCAGTACTCGGGCCATTCAACTTCTCTTGCCAACGCGTCTCCCTCCGCCCCCCCCCGTGCTTCCGTCCCCTGTTCCTGTGTAGGTAGTGGCCCATTCACATTGCGAAGGTCACCCTGGGCCCTCCCGGGCCTTCCCCTTGCAATTTGCAAAGTGGGGCGCTGGGTCGCGGCGGAGTCGCGGGCCTAGAAGCGCCCCGAAGAGCTGCCGCTATAATGTGCTTGCGATCTTTGCTGCGCCTTCGAACATGACTTGCCTCCTCTCGTGCGTCGCCTAGGCAGGTCGCGACGTGCCTGGCCAAATCTACCAGAAGCGCGCGTCGCCGTGCAAATAGAGCTAGCCGCTCCATGGTGCGTGGTGCAGATTCGCCGCGGCCTGCGCGCCCTTCCTGGAACTGTTGGCCTCCGATCCGACGGAGAACGTCGTTCATTTGATCTAGCAAAAGAATCCTGCTACGGGAAGGAATGCTCCTGGCGTGCCAAGACCTCCTCCATCGCCACCTCCACCCCCTTTGCAACCTCTTCCCGGATCGGGCCGCAGTTGTGCCCGTGCATCAGCCTGTCGGGGCCCAGGGGGGCTCTTTGGGCGTTCCTGTCCATCGGAGCTAGCCGGGGTCCTCATCTCCCGTCGCCCTCCGAGCCTCGGAGCTCGCGCTCTGACGAGCACGAGAAGATGACAGCGAGCTTCGCGATCGGGGAAAACTTGCAGACGCTTGGCCATCTGATTAGTTGGTGCTGCGCATTCGACTGCGTCGCGCCACGCGACAGGAACTCCAATCTGGTCGATCATAAGACTCCCCCCGCAGGTCCCGAAAGCGTGGCTGCACAATGGGTCATCGTGGAGGCGCGAGAAAGTTTGTGCCCCCCAAGGTCTCTGGAAACCGTTGACCTCCGCCTCCAATGTGCTTCTCCTTCGTCCTCATCCTTCCCGCCGCCACCGTGTCCACTTCCCCCCCAATGCCGCCCACCTCGGCTAATCAAACCCTATCGTTAACATCAGCCAAGAGAGCTGGATGAACTCTAGCAAGCGGCTTCTTGAGGAGTTCGACACCCCATTCGGAAAGCTTCTTACAGCGCGCGCGATATGGCCAACGCCCAGTAACCGAGCCCGGACGCGGGGGATAGCGCAGTCAACGATGAACAGATTGGACCCGCCCTTTCCTGCATCGATCGCTATACCTCGCCGTTGGAGAGGTGGTGGTGGAAGCTCGACGCGACGCACATGCTGTTGTCGCGACGGCAGCGGCGCCAGCAAACCTATTGGAGAACCCGCCACTACGCCCACCAGCTTCAACACATACTCTCTGCTGAATCATGCTGACTTGGTAAGGGCAATCTTGGGGAGCTTCTCGTTGTGCGCCAGGAAGCCGGAATATATTTACATTCGGTAGTCCAGTTCGAATGTCCAAGCTGTTTGGTTCCCGTCGCGTGCATGGGGTTGTGCACCAAGAGAGACAACGCAGGAAGCGCCATCGCGGCTGGCCAAAAGCCCCTGGGGCTCATGGTCGTCTGATAGGGCCGCCCACGTGGTGGAAGGGTGGCAGACTAATTCGTTTGCTGCCTGGAGCAGAAACTGCAACTGGATGAAGAGAGGAGGATGAGGAGGAAACATTTCACCTACTTCGACTCTACTCAAATTTGCCCGTTGATGTCAGGTCGGTGCCCGTAGCGCAAGGCACAACATCGAGAATGCGAACGCAACCCGTGGCAACGATAATGGCACACGAAAGCCACACCAACTGCCAACTTATGACGTTTTTGGCCCGGTGCTGGACCCCCCGCGCGTGACACACGCTACCACAATTGAGTATTCGAGCGACGAATCCAGAAAACATTGAGACGGCAAGGTCAAGTGAATATCTGTGTGGGGATAAACTCATTAGGATAATCGGGATTGCTGGTGGGGGTGCGTATTGTAAGAATGCGGGTGCGACACACGGCGGAACTATAAAGCACACGTGCACATACCAACACGTACTACAAACACAATCCATAAAACATACTGGTAAGTGGTTCCTGGGAAATTGCAGCTGCTACACTGCAGTCTGCGATCTCACCGGCATTCGTTTATTGCCTCCCATCGAACTTTTCCCTATGAACGGGCGTGCGTGTTGAGGAAACGCCCTGCACGACCCACAGCATGAAGTCGTTCCAGAGAATAAATGTATGTTTATGCGTTTTTTTCTTCTTCGGGAGAAGGAGGAAGAGGGGGAGAATGGACAGGACCTGTCCTGTGACCCGCGATCCTTCGCCGCCATTTCTCGACGCGGCAGCCACCTACACGCCGCGAGCGAAGAAGCCTGCTGCTGCGCGTCTACTTCCGCGACGTCGGCCTTCAGGACACGATGACACGGGAAGCTTCGCGGATGAGCCTCGCTGGCTGCGCGCTACGGCACACTGGGGCCTCGGAAAGCATGTCTGGACCGCCTGCAGATGCGGTTCCGGCTTCTCCCAGGTCTCGGACAGACTGGCTCATCCGCCGACGCCCTGGCCAGGGCCTCTGGCCTGTGAGGCCGCTGAAGGAAGCAACTTTGCGACATACAGCCATCGTGCTACTACCACAGGGAACGCTGAAGAAGGAACCAAGGTTCCCCGACCTGGACTGAAGGAACGCCCCAAAGGCCAGAGCCCCTCCTGAACCCAAACTGATCATTATTTCGGCGTCTTGGCTGTACGTTGAAGAACCGCTGCGCGTGACCTGAACCGGCGGCCGGAGAACACAGTGCAAGAAACCTTCGAATGTCGAAGCTGGAAAGTGGATGGGGGGAGCTCGCATCTTTGCTGTCTGGGGGCTGCTGTTGGAGTTTTTTCGCTGAGCCGGATCCTTGCGCCCCCTCGAATACCTCCATGTGGAAGTCACTTGTGTTGGTTGAGAGAAGGGTGTGTGTGTGTGTGCGTGTGTGCGTGTTTGTGTGTGTGTGGGGCGGGGACACCCGAAAGGCTTGGGCATCCGAAATCGAACAGAGGTTCCCGAACTGTTTCGGAGACGTAGCAAGCGGCCAAGACGCCTCAAGATAGCCACCAATAGGCACCTAATACATACATGCGGGGCAATAGCAACAAAATATGTTTGGCGTGCATGTTTTTCAGCCCAAGATGGCCTCGGGAACATTCTGCCCGCCTAATAGCGGCCAGAGAAAACACTTCCCAAGACGATCCGTGAGAGTATCTGGAAGAGGCCGCCAAGATAGCTTCAGACGGCACCAGAGGGCGCCAAGACGGCTCCTAGAGAGCCCTGGTACGTCCCAAGAGGGCCCCTCCAAGACGCCCAATTCAAGTTCCCAGACAGCCCGAAGAAGGCCCCAAAACGCCTCTCGTCCACTTCTCCTCCATCTCCTCCTTCTCGTCCTCCTCCTCCTCCTCCTCCTCCTCTTCATCCCCCATCCTCTCTTCCTCTCTTCCTCTTTTCCTCCTCCTTCTCTTCCCCTTGTCTTGTTGATTTCTCATCTCTTGATCCTTCGTCCTCAATCAGCGTGTCAGCCGTGTCCAGGCGCCGTCTCAGATATCAGCGGTTCGGCGGATGTCGCGTCAGCCTAGTGAATCACCACTTGAGCACGGACGTGCCAACGACGTCGTTCCCGTCCACATCGACCTGGCGGGGGTAGAGTTCCACCTCTACCTTCTCCTGCCCCTCCCTCTCATCCCACCGGCCTCCTCCGCTCCCTCCTGTTCCTCTCCATTCTGCTTCTGCTGCTGCTGCTGCTCCTCTTCCTTCTCCTCCTCCTCTACCCTCCTTCGCCGTCCTCCCCTCCCCTCCCCCCTCGTCCTCATCCTCCTTGTCGTCTTCCCCTTCCCCCTCCCCTTTGCTCCACGCCGGCGTCGACCTTGACGTCGTCGTCCTCCTGCTCCTCCTCGCTCCTCCTTGTCATGCGTCCCGCCGCCGCGCCGCTGCCGCCCGATGCCCCCCTCACCAGCGCGCCGCCGAGGCCTTGAGGCTCCTCCACTCTGCCGAGAGCCACCGCCGCGCGGCGGGGGAGCCCACCTTGGCGCCCCGAGGGGTGGTAGGAGGAGGACCGCGTCTCCTTGTGTTCGGCGATGCATTCTACGGGGGTGGGCCAGGGGGGGGGGGTATAATGTAACCCCCCCCCCCGCCGTGTGCCCGATGCGCACGGCGGCAGTGCCCAGAGCGCACTGAGGGGGGGGGGCGTTACGTTATAGGGGGGGAGGGGGGGGGGTCGGGAGCAAAAATGCCCATTCTGCCCCAAGCAATGAAGAAACACGCTCCAGGCAGCGCGCCCAGTGGGTATCGGGATAATAATGATAATAAGAGGGGGAATGCCAACAAGAGACATAAGAAGCACAATGTTAAGAAGACGGCCGGGAATGATACGAATGAGACGAACGAAGAAGGGGCCACACAACATAAATATAAGGAGAATAAGAACAAATATATCGACATCAGCCGGCCCCACTGTGGGGCCACCAGTCTGCGCAGCCGAACTGTCCTGCAACCTGCTCCAGTTCCAGTTTCAACCTTCGAATGTTATGATTATACTTCCTTCTTCCTCCTGTAATTCTTGCTGTCCGCGCGAGGGGGGACCGACATAATTTTAACCCCGAATCGCATTGCCTGAATTTCTGGTGGGTCTGGGACAACTGAAAATACATGATGAGATTCGCGCCCCCGAAGCCATAATCCATAGTACATCACGCCACATTCACCTTCCCGAGGCACCAATCCCTTGTAAATTGCACCAGGTTCTGCCTCCCGAGGCACCCCTCGCAGAAACGAGAGAGACCAAAGGTGGGTGGAACGCATTCCGAGGCAGGACGAGCTCACGGACCCGTCGATGAACTCTCCTTTTCGCTGCTGCTGTTCCCTTCTCCCCCCTAGCCCACCTCCCCCTCCTTCTTCTGCTCCCACCCCTCCACTCATCCGTCCTGTCCTCTCCTTCTCCTGCTCCCTACGCACCCTCCCGCTGACAACCTCCTCCATCCTCCCTCCCTCCCTGGGGGTGCAAAACGACGTCGGTACTGATTCTTCCTGGACCTCTCCCGGGGTATGTCCTGGCCAAGATTTCGAAGGTGCGCCGCTGGATCTCCCCAAGGAGGGGGGGGGGGTAGGACCCCCCTCCCCCCCTCTTCCCCGATCCGTCGTCGGGGAAACCTGAGCTAAGATGAAGCTAAGCTAAGCGAATATGCAATAAGCTAAGCTAAGATGAGATAAGCAACGCTAAGCTAAGGGGACGTAGCTGGGGGAACCGCGGGGCGGATACTGGGGGAACCGCCCGGGGCGCTTTCCACTGCCCGGCCCCTTTAAGCCCAGAGAGTAGGAACCCTTCTAGGCAGAGCCTAGGTAGGGAATTGGCTACCCTGCACCGCGCCTGACCACCTCAACTGCTCGCGCAAACATCCCACTCACCCACCCGCAACTTGGTCGCAAGACTTCTTAAGACAAGACCGTGACGGTAGGTACCACATGGCACTTGGCCACGACGCCGACGCCGACGACGACAGCGACAACGACGACGACGGCGCCGCCGACACCGACTACGACGACACCGCGTCTCTGGTCACTAGTCACACCTCACTAGTCACTAGTTACTGGTCACTAATCACTACCCACTACTCACCAATCGCTACTCCCCCACTATCCGCTACCCACTTCTTACTATTCACTGCTCACTACGCCCTATTGCCTACTCCCTACTCCCTACTCACTATTCACTACTCTCTACTCCCTACTCGTTACTCACTAATCACTACCCATTACTCACTACTGACTACTCTCTACTCGCTACTCACTACACCCTACTCGCTCCTCACTACTCACTACTCGCTACTCCCGACTCGCTACTCACTACTCACTACCCACAACCACTACCCACTACTCTCTATTCGTCACTACTCACTACTCACTATTCACCACGCACTACGTACTACTCAGTATTCACTACTCACTACTCACTACTCACTACTCAGTACTCACTACTCACTACTCGCTACTCACTACTCACTACTCACTACTCACTACGCACTACCCACTACCCACTACTCACTAATCACTACTCGCCACCCTCTACTCAATACCCACTACTCACTACCCACTACTCATTACTCCGTTTTCCCTACTCAGCACTCAGTACTCGCTACTCGCTACTCACTACTCACTACTCGCCACTCACTACTCACTTATCAGTACACACTATTCACTATTCACTACTCATTACTCCCCACTCCGTACCCCCTACTCGCCACTCACTGCCCACGACTCACTACCCGATACTCACTACTCACTACGCACTAACTCACTACTCACTACTCACCACTCCCTACTCCCAACTCCGTACTCCCTACACGACGGGGGGGGGGGTCCGAACCCCCCGCCCTTTCTCCAGCGCCAAAGGGGGGATGGGGGGGGGGGTTCGGGACCCCGCCCCACCTTCAAGGGAGGGGGAGGGGGGAGTTCCGGACCCCCCCCCTAAAGGGGAGGAGGGGGGGGGGGGTCGGGACCCCCCCCATTGAAGGGGGGGAGGGGGGGGGGGTTGTGGACCCCCCCACCCTTTAGTGTATTCAGGGAGATCCACTGGCGCGGAGAATCCACCCATGGCGACAAAGGCTTTCCACGACGAACAGCGGTACTAATACCTTTTCCTTCTGTTCGCTCCGTTCCGTGGCGGCTGGGAACGTGCCCGTCAATGGAGGAGCACGTGCACAAGACCAGGGACAAAGGTGTGGGACCGTACGCGAACACAGGCGTCAGTCCTCTGGCTTCGCCTCGATGACAACTTCACCCGAAGGGAGAACACGAGTGAATCGGGGACTTGTTGCTCAGGCCAGCCTCGTGAGCCTCCCTGGCCAGATGCCCAACCAACCGACGAGCCGGGATGTCCCCGTGATCCTGTCTCTGGCCCTTCCTTGCACGGCAAGCGGCCTCCGCGTCCCGTCTGTCTACAGGCTTTGTGGATGGGGGTCCGAACAAATTAGGTTTGAGGATTGCGCCGTATCGCCAATGCATCACCATTGCATCGGCGATACTGGCTCCACATCGAACCGCATCGCCGATACTTCGTCAATGCGGGGCGATCCTTCGACCCATGTACTTCGACCCCATCTAGGAAGCCTAGATCAGGCCAGCTTCATGAGCCTCCCTGGCCGGAGGCCCTTCCAACTGACGAGCCGGGCGTCAACACCATCCGTCCTCTGGCCCGTTCTTGCGCGGCTTCCGGCGGCCCCCGCGTCCGCCCTCTCATGGCACGGGCGCGGACCGCGCGCCGCCCGGCTCCCCGGACAGAGCATCATCAGCGGATCGTCGTCGTCGTCGTCGTCGTCGTCGTCGTCGTCGTCGTCGTCGTCGTCACGCTCGTCGTGGTCGTCGCACTCGTCGTCGACGTCGCGCTCGTCGTCGACGACGCGCTCATCGTCCCCCTCCTCCTCCTCCTGCTGCTATTCTTCCTCCTCCTCCTCCTCCTCCTCCTCCTCGTGCTCCTCCTCCTCCTCCTGCTGCTTTCCCTCGTCCTCCTCTTCCTCCTCCTCCTCCTCGCCCTCCTCCTCCTCCTCCTCCTCCTCCTCCTGCTCCTCTTCTTCCTCCTCCTCGTGCTCGTCCTCGTCCTCGTCCTCCTCCTCCTCCTCCTCCTCTTCCTCCTCCTCCTCCTCCTCTTCCTCTTCCTCCTCTTCCTCGTCCTCGTCGTCCTCGTCGTCCTCGTCGTCCTCGTCGTCCTCGTCGTCCTCGTCGTCCTCGTCGTCGTCCTCCTCCTCCTCCTCCTCCTGTGGCGGCGTCCGCGGGTCTTTCCTCCTGCGGCCAGGGCTCGTTGATCGGGAGCTAGCAGACGCCTCCGCCGGCCCCTCCATCAGGGAGGGCGGCCCCCCTGGGGGTGGCCAGCCGTGTAAAACGGCGGCCACGTCGGCCTTCTGCGCCGCCGCCGCTAGCCGCCACCCGCGCCGCCAGTCCTAGCGACGCTCCAGCACAGCGCCCGCGCCCCCGTGGCGCGGCGGCGCCGCCGCCGCTGCTCGCCCTCCTCCAGTTCCCCCCCTCTCCAGCACCTTCAGCCTCCGCCGCTGTCGCCCGGCGCCCCAGCGACAGCAACGCCCCGCGCTCCCCTGGCGCCCCGCGACGGCACCCGCGCTGAGCGCCCGCCCGCGCGGGCTCGAGCCAGCCCAGAAGCGCGGCAGAGCTGCTGCGCCAACTCGCGCTGCAGGGCGCAGCTAACACCTGAAGGCCCGCGCCAGCTCCTCGGGCTGCGCGTCCTCCGGGAGTTTCCGGATGTGGCTCGGGAGCCAGGCCTGCGTCTCGCCACCGACGCGGGCCCCGTTTCAACAACGAACGCCGTGAGCCGCCCGCCCGGGCAGCGCGCGTGCATGGCGCGCTCGGTCCGACGCGCCGCTTCGCCAGGGCCTCGCCGCCGCGCGCACGGCGGGCTCGTCGCCGACCGCTGGGTGGCGGACGGTCACGCCCAATCACCTCCTCCTCTTCCTCCTCCTCGTCCTCGTCCTCGTCCTCGTCCTCCTCGTCCTCATCGTCTCCTCCTCCTCTTCCTCCTCCCCCGCGGCCGCACCCGGGAGCCTCCGAGGCCCCCACCAGGCGCCTCACCCGCTCGGCGGGTGCCTCGCCCCCTCTGCCGGGCTCCCCGGCCATGCGGGCGTACAGCTCTGGCACCTCCGACGGCGGCGGCGGCTGCGGCGGCGACGGCGGCCCAGACGTTGCCGTCGTTTCGGAAGTTTGATGACGAAAGCGGCTGCGGCTGCGACGTTTGAAGGGGCCCAAGTCGGGCGTTGGCAGGACTGGGTTCAGTGGGACCTGGTTTAGTGATGTGTACTGGAGGGCGCCACCCAAGCCCCGTTCCACTCACCGGAACTGCCGTCACCCGAAAAACACCAACTACGGCAGACCTGGTTTAGTGATTCTGGCCAATTTAGGGGCCCCGGGGCCCTACTACTAACAGGTTCCCCTTACCTGGGGTCCTGGCTACACCCGACCAGGGACACACAAACAATTTGACACAAGTCCTAGGATTCTCCATATATCTTCCCATATATTTTCTGGGCTCTCGTCTTCTCCCCCCCACTTCTCATATTTTCCGGGGGATCGACGATTCATGGTGTCTGTGTGTGTGTGTGTTTTTTCTCCTCCTGCACGTTGTCTCTTCTTCGGGACGTTCCCACCTGTTCCGGGGGCGCTCGGGGCCCCCGCCGCCCAGGCGTGGGCGCGGCTCGAGAGGCCGGCCGGGACGTGGCAGAGGAAGGGCCCTGGCGCATGGGCGGCGGGGACGTTGTTGGGGACGGGTCTGGAGCCAAGGATCCAAGATCAGACAACATCGGACGCGTCGAAGTCCGTCTCCTCTTCGAGGGTCGCTCTCGGCCGTGTCAGGGCCCGGCCCAGGTCACGAACCCAGGCAAGTTCAGCTTCACCGAGCCCAAAAGAGTCCAAGACCTGCTCCCGACAAGCGAACCCGCTCAGGAAGCCAAGGGCGGCGGGGACGACGCCGAGGACGACGAGGAGGAGGCTGCTGTCAGACGATGGCCTCGTGCGGGGCGCGCTCTGGTGGAGGCCTGGCGTGAGAAGTACCCCTCCGAGAACTTGCCGCTGTTCGAGCAGGGGGAGGCAGATGCGGCCCACCTCCTCTCGCTGGGCTCTCTCCTCTCTCCCTGATCCTCCCCCTCTCTGCGCGTGGATCGTTAGTGCAACGGTATGCTTGTGTGCGTCAGTCGGAAGACGAAGCACGGGGAGAAGGAGAAGGATAAGCGCGTCGGAGGCAAGTCCCTGCCATGAGCAAAACAATTGGGCCTCTGCGAGGATATGGAATGGGCCCAGCCAGCTGCTATGGCCGGCCTAGGGCGCCCCTCAGGGGAGTCCGAGAGGGGTGCCCCACGGCCGGAAGCTCTACCCAGAGAGCCCTGCGAGAGGGGGAGGAGGCATCAGATGACGGTGTACGAGCAGAGTCGCGGCCGCCACGGAGCGCGGTCGGAGGCGGCCGAACGAAGCGAGACACCGACGCCGCGGGGTGATCTGACATGTTTTTTCCTATGGGTTCAGCTCCCGGATGCCGTTCCGACAAGCCAGCAGAAGATTATGATTGAATTCTAGACGGGCCTGGGGCCTGACAACGATGGCCCTGGTTCAACGACATGGCCGATCGCACGCTGCAGCGTCGCCCACGTACAAGGCAAAACACCAACTCACGTGGTCGGTGTCGGGGCCGAATGCTAGAACGCCTGGCGGTGGCAACCGTGTACAAGGATCGCTGGTGGGGGAGGTGAGCCCGCTTTTGCGAGTGGAGGCCACCCCTTCAATCCTCCCCGCTCCTCCTGACCTCCCCCACTTCCTCTCCTCCTCCTGCCCGTCCCCCTTCCTCCCCATCTCGCTCCTCACCCCTCCTCTCGACCTCTTCGAATCACCCCCGCCAGCAAAGCTGGCGACGACGCCGCCGTTGACGCCAGCCAAGGCAACAGCGATGACGACGGTGACGGCGACCCATCTCAAGAAACAACCCCAGACCTGTCGTGGAGTGCTTTCTGACCAAAACTTCGAGGCGGACCCAACTGCGGCGACGAGGAAGCTCCCGGTGGCCCAGAGCGAGGGAAACGACTTCGCAAACCTCGACCCATCCTCGACGACCCAGGCCCCTGGCCTCGCCGTGTCTCCGCAGCGTGACCCCCTGGAGGTCTCGACCCGTCTCTCGCACCAAAAGCTGCCCTTTGATGGCCCCATCTCGCCATCGCTCGGACGTCCCTTCTCTGTGTTTTTCCCAACCATCCTGTGGTGTTGGGTCCTCGTTTTGAAGAGACGGTCCCCGCGTTCCTCCTCCTCCTCGCCCTCCTCCCTCCAGGGTTCACATGCCCCAGGAGGCCTCCTGACAGGCCCCAGTAGTTTTTCCCAACCATCCTGTGGTGTTGGGTCCTCGTTTTGAAGAGACAGCGCCCCGCGTCCACTCCTCCCGCTGTCCCCTCCTCCCCCTCCTTGCCTCTGCTCTCGGCACACCTCTCACGCGTTTCGTAGCCCCATAGGGAGCTCCACCGAAGGCCCCAGTGGGGGTGTCCACATGCGGTTCCCCCACCCAGGGCAGCGTTTCGTGGCCCCATAGGGAGCTCCACCGAAGGCCCCAGTGGGGGTGTCCACATGCGGTTCCCCCACCCAGGGCAGCGTTTCGTAGCCCCTCCATAGGGCTCCACCCAGAATAGGGAGCTCCACCGAAGGCCCCAGTGGGGGTGTCCACATGCGGTTCCCCCACCCAGGGCAGCGTTTCGTAGCCCCATAGGGAGCTCCACCGAAGGCCCCAGTGGGGGTGTCCACATGCGGTTCCCCCACCCAGGGCAGCGTTTCGTAGCCCCATAGGGAGCTCCACCGAAGGCCCCAGTGGGGGTGTCCACATGCGGTTCCCCCACCCAGGGCAGCGTTTCGTGGCCCCATAGGGAGCTCCACCGAAGGCCCCAGTGGGGGTGTCCACATGCGGTTCCCCCACCCAGGGCAGCGTTTCGTGGCCCCATAGGGAGCTCCACCGAAGGCCCCAGTGGGGGTGTCCACATGCGGTTCCCCCACCCAGGGCAGCGTTTCGTGGCCCCATAGGGAGCTCCACCGAAGGCCCCAGTGGGGGTGTCCACATGCGGTTCCCCCACCCAGGGCAGCGTTTCGTAGCCCCATAGGGAGCTCCACCGAAGGCCCCAGTGGGGGTGTCGCATGCGGTTCCCCCACCCAGGGCAGCGTTTCGTGGCCCCATAGGGAGCTCCACCGAAGGCCCCAGTGGGGGTGTCCACATGCGGTTCCCCCACCCAGGGCAGCGTTTCGTAGCCCCATAGGGAGCTCCACCGAAGGCCCCAGTGGGGGTGTCCACATGCGGTTCCCCCACCCAGGGCAGCGTTTCGTGGCCCCATAGGGAGCTCCACCGAAGGCCCCAGTGGGGGTGTCCACATGCGGTTCCCCCACCCAGGGCAGCGTTTCGTAGCCCCATAGGGAGCTCCACCGAAGGCCCCAGTGGGGGTGTCCACATGCGGTTCCCCCACCCAGGGCAGCGTTTCGTAGCCCCATAGGGAGCTCCACCGAAGGCCCCAGTGGGGGTGTCCACATGCGGTTCCCCCACCCAGGGCAGCGTTTCGTAGCCCCATAGGGAGCTCCACCGAAGGCCCCAGTGGGGGTGTCCACATGCGGTTCCCCCACCCAGGGCAGCGTTTCGTGGCCCCATAGGGAGCCCATAGGGAGCTCCACCGAAGGCCCCAGTGGGGGTGTCCACATGCGGTTCCCCCACCCAGGGCAGCGTTTCGTAGCCCCAGAGGGAGCTCCACCGAAGGCCCCAGTGGGGGTGTCCACATGCGGTTCCCCCACCCAGGGCAGCGTTTCGTAGCCCCAGAGGGAGCTCCACCGAAGGCCCCAGTGGGGGTGTCCACATGCGGTTCCCCCACCCAGGGCAGCGTTTCGTAGCCCCATAGGGAGCTCCACCGTAGGCCCCAGTGGGGCTGCCCTCATGCGGTTCCCCCACCCAGGGCAGCGTTTCGTAGCCCCAGAGGGAGCTCCACCGTAGGCCCCAGTGGGGGTGCCCGCATGCGGTTCCCCCACCCAGGGCAGCGTTTCGTGGCCCCACAGGGAGCTCCACCGAAGGCCCCAGTGGGGCTGCCTGCATGCGGTTCCCCCACCCAGGGCAGCGTTTCGTAGCCCCATAGGGAGCTCCACCGAAGGCCCCAGTGGGGGTGTTCGCATGCGTCTCCACTACCCAGAGGTAGCGCCGCCGAAAACGATATTCACACTTGCGGTATTCACAGTTGCATATGGTTGGGTCCTTCGCCAGGCTAATTTTTGGTTTCGTGCGTGGTTTTTTCGCCAAGTGATCAAGGATGCTCCTCGATGGTTCTCGCCGAGAAAAAAATGCACACGTCCGAACGATTCCAAGCCCTGGGCCCGGAGAAAGGGCCCCCGCGGAGGCCGCGAACTGCCCCGGGGACCCCCCCGCGCGCCGCGATGCCTCACGCCGCGAGGTGGGCAGAGGGGGCCCCTCCCCGAGGATCTCCGGGGAGGCAGTTCGCCCCAGATCGAGCAAGGGAGGAGGAGGAGGAGGAGGAGGAGGAGGAGGAGGAGGAGGAGGAGGAGGAGGAGGAGGAGGACGAGCAGGACGAGGAGGACGAGGAGGACGAGGAGGAAGAAGAGGAGGAGCAGCAGGAGGAGGAGGGGGAGGAGGAGGAGGAGGAGGGGCATGATGTGGACCCGCTCTTTGCTCCTGGCTCTCTCCTCTCTCCTCCTCCGCCTCCTGCTCCTCCTCTCCTTTGTTCCTCACGACGTGGGGCGGGTCCGAGGCACGACGGCGACGGCGGCGACAACGGCAGAGATGCCGACGACGGCGGCGACCCCTGGGCCGTGAGGGCGCCCACGATTCCGGCGACGGCCCCCGCCCTGATGGGTCCAGAGCAATTGGGGCCGGAGGATCGCGCCGCATCGCCGACGCGTCGCCGCTCAGCATCGGCGACCTTGGGATTGGGAGAAACCGGCCTCTGAATCCAGATCCCCGACGTAATGATTTTTTCATGACGTGGACCCCCTTCGGCCTGGACCCATTCCCCGGGACGGGTTCTTCATCCCGAACCGTTTTTGACGGTCCCGAGGAAAGGCCGGTAAGGGCCCCCAGAGTCCGAAAATATCGAACTCCCTCCGTCATGTTTTTTTTGCTTTTGTCCATAACCTGAGGGGGTCTGGGAACCGCGCCGCATCGGCGATGCATCGCCGATGCCTCTGACCTCAAGGCGCCCGGAATGCTGGCGCCAGCGCCTGCGGCGGCGGCGCCGGGTGCGGCGGCGAGCGCCGGCGAGCGACGACGGGCGATCCACGAGGGACGAGCTCTGGCGAGCGCCGGGGAGCGCCGGCGAGCGGCGACGGCGCTGGCGCCTGCGGCGGCGGCGGCGAGCACTTGGCGGCGGCGCCGACGACGCCGACGGCGGCGGCCGGCCGCAAGTGGCGCCAGCGGGTGCTCTGCGGGCTCCACCGTCGCAGTGCCCTCGCCGGCGACCTGGGCCCGCGAGCGTGCGTCCGCGCGCGCCGGGCGAGCGGCCGCGGCTCGGCACGCGGTGCGGGGGGGAGGGGAGAGAGCTCGGTCGGCAGCGGGTCGGGGAGAAGGGTCGGGTCGGGGCGTGCAGGGGATCGGGCTGCAGCGGCACGGGCAGAGGGGGGAGGGAAGACCAGAGTGAGGCACGCTGGCCCCCGGGACGTTGGGTCGCAACCCTCGGGCGCCCAGGGCCCTCCGCGGGCCCCCCAGGCCGTGGCGACAAAGAACACGACTCGGGACGCAGAGTGTTGGTCCTGGGGAAGGGCCTGGGGTTCAGGCACTTTCCTCAGTACCCCTCTCCTTCATGGCGAGCCTCCTCCTCCTCCTCCTCCTCCTCCTTATCTTCCTCCTCTTCCTCCGCCTCCTGCTCCAAGCGCTCGGGGGGGAGGGGGGAAGGAGGAGGAGGAAGAGGAGGGAGGGAGGGAGGGAGGAAGGAGGGAGGAGGGGAAGGAGGTAGAAGGGAGGAATGGAGGAGAAGGGAGAAGGGAGGCAGAAAGGAGGATCATGAGGGATGGGGAAGGAGGGAGAGGGAGGCAAAAGAAGAGGGACAGCAGAGGGAGCAAGGAGCGAGGACGGAGGGAGAGACAGCCCCAGAGGGAGAAGGAAGGGAGGAGGGGGCATGGAATGGAATAGGCCCCACGATGCGAATGGGAGGGAGGAGGGAGGCGAGAGGAGGAGGGAGGCAAGCTACCGTATGCACGCGCGCTGTATCCGCCGATCCCTTGTGGGTCCCTAAGCGTGTGAAATGGTTCCCGCCCCCTTGTTTCCCCCCCCAGAGCCAAACCTGCGCGTTCGAGGGGGGGGTGTGGCGGGCCTGGGACGATCCCCCGGGACCGCATCATGGGAGGATCCAAGCTCTTCCGGTGCGTTTTCTTGGCTCCGAGACGGCTCCAGAGGCACCCAAGACAGTCCAAGAGGGCCCCGAGTCGCTGACTCGTCGGCCCAAGACGCTGAAGATGGCCTCCAAACCGTCGAAGAGGCCTCCAAGACGACCTAAGATGCCTCCCCTGAGCACTCCCAAGAGAGCCCCAAGAAGCAAATATCGCCCCAGTCCCTTAATAAAACATAGATTTTCAGCAGATCCGCCTCTAAGGCTTTGACAACGTCCAAGGCGGCCCAGGAGGCCATTCAAATCTCTCCAAGACGGCCCAACAAGCCTTCCAGAAGGCTCCAAGACGGCCCCAGAGAGCCCCAAGACAGCCCCAAAGGCTCCCAAGACGGAGCAAGAGCGCCCCAAGACGACCCCCAAAGGGGCCTCAATGTGCGAACGCGATCTCACTTTTCGAGCTCTCCGCTGCGAAAGGGCCCCTGAGACCGCCTGAGGGCCCCCAACAAGCCCAAAGAGGCCGCCAAGAGCTCCAAATGACACCCAAAGAGGCCTCCAAACCGTCTCTAAGAGACCCCCCCGAAGCCTCCCCACAGCTCTTCAAAGCGAGCACGGCACTGCACGCGCGCACAGCAAGCCACGGCACGGAGGCCGAGAAATCGATCAAAGGTCGGCGGATGTGGCGCAAGCCTGTAGAACCCACGTCCGAAGTGACGTGTTGCTGGAGGCAGGTCCGCAGATGCTGTAATGCAACGTATCCAATGTATCCAATGATTGCGCAACTTGTACTGAATTGGAATATGTTTCATGATTATGTCTCCTCCTAACCCCCTCCAGGGGCCACGCCACATCCGCCGACCAGGGTGCCCCCCTCGCCTGGAGCCAAGAGACGTGCGAAAACCTATGACAAATCAATGATTTTGGCCCCTTGGGGGTCTTGAGGGTCCATGAGCGCGTCAAGACGGCTCAAGATGGCCTCAAGACGGGTCAAAACGACCCCAAGACGGTCCAAGATGGCCCCAAGAGGGTCCAAAAAGCTTCCGAGAAGGCCCCAGAGGGCTCCAAGAAAACCTCCAAGAGCGCCTCCAGAGGTCCAAATCATGGTTTTTCTTAGGTTTTTGACAGACTTTCGCGTTCTCGTCTTCTTCTATCTTTAGAAATCCATAACGGCCCAAGCAGCCTCCAAAATGGTCCCAGGGCTCCAAAGAGGACCCCAGGACGGCCCAAGAGGGCCCCAAGACGGCCCAAAAAGGTCCCCAGGACGGTCCAAGACCCCCAAGACGGTCCAAGAGGACCCCAAGAGACCCCTACGGCGGCCGCGAGAGGATGGTCTCCGAAGGAGCCAAACGGCGCAAGAGCGTCCAAAGACTGCCCAAGACGCCCCCAAGAGGCCCCAACAGGCCCCAAGAAGCCCACAATAGGCCCCCAAAAGGCCCCCACCAGGCCCCACAACGTCTGGACTGCACGTGCTCCGGACGTGCACCCCGCGAAGCGAGAGGTATCCACGTCCGGAGGTGACGTGTTGCTGGCGACAGGTCGCGCAGCGGAGCGGAAGCCCTAATGCAAAGTATCCAACGTATCCAATGACTGCACAAATTGTACATAACGCATCATGTTTCATTATTCTGTCTGCGTGCATTTTTCGTTTTTTTTTTGCGGTTTTATGAGTGTTTTTTTTTGCTCGATGGTCCAGCATGGTCCTCGATGGTTCTCACCGAGAAAAAATGCACACGTCCGAGCGATGCCAAGTTATTCTGCCTCCCTGCCTGCCCCCCCTCCAAGGGCCACGCTGCATCCGCCGACCAGACCAGGGTGCCCCTCCCCCCCCCCCCCTCCTGGAGCCAAGAGACGTACGAGAACCGGTGGAAAATCTATGATTTAGGCCCTTGTGGCCTCTTCGGGGTCGAAGAGCGCGTCAAGACGGCTCAAGATGGCCTCAAGACGGATTAAGACGACCCCAAGACGGTCCAAGATGGCCCCAAGAGGGCCCCAAAAACTCCCGAGAAGGCCCCAGAGGGCTCCAAGAAGACCCCCAAGAGCGCCTCCAGAGGCCCAAATCATTGAGATCTTAATTTTAGCGTTCTCGCCTTTTTTGACTCTCAAGGGCCCACGACGGCCCAAGCAGCCTCGAAAATAGCCCCAACACGACCCAAGAAGCCCCCAAGAGGGCCCCAAGACGGCCCAGGAGGGCCCCAAGGCGGCCCAAAGACGTCCCCAAGACGGTCTTCGAAGCCCCCAAGACGGCCCAAAGGGACCCTCAGAGAGCCCCAAAGCGGCCGCGAGAGGCCTTCAAGACGGCCTCCTGAGGGGCCAAACCGCGCAAGAGCGCCTCAAGATGGCCCAAGACGGCCCCACGAGGCCCCAAAACAGCCGGCAAGAGCCCACAAGAGGTCAACAAGGGGCCTCCAAAATGCCCCGAAGAGGCTCCCACCAGGCCCCGCAACGACTGGATTGCACGTGCTCCGGACGTGCACCCCGCGAAGCGAGAGGAATCTGACATCCTACCGTTCCCGCCCATCCCTTCCCATTGCGCTGACTATTTCTCTATCCGCGGAGACGGGCGTCCTAGCCAGCGTGACCCCAGCGTGGGATGCGTGGGATGCGCAGTCAGACGGGTGTGCGGTGTACATTGGAGGAGGAGATGGCGGATGAGCAGGAAGAAGAACTGGAAATGGAGCCCCACCATACCAACACATCCCATATAACCCAAAAACCAAGCATGGACAAACCAAGCATTCACGATCCTGGGAAGAGACTACTAGGAGCTAAAGCGAAACTACCTGGAACGGCACGACGACCGGGGGAAGACGACGAGGAGTAGCCCGGAGGGGGGGGCGACCACGACGAGGAGCCGGATCCAGAAGCGTGGCCCGTGTCGGGACGAGAGCGCGACCCTGAACGCCGGGAGCCAAACGCCGCTTCTGCCATGAGGCCAACGCCCTCACTGGCCATCGCTCGGACGTCCCTTCCCTGTGTTTTTTTCCGGTTTCGTGCGTGTTTTTTTCGCCAAATGATCAAGGATGCTCCTCGATGGTTCTCGCCGAAGGGAAAAATGCACATGTCCGAGCGATGCCGAGCCAACGCCCTCAGCGGGAGCACCATCATAAACGGTCGCGCGCGGGGCCTCCGTGGTGCCCGAGAGCGTGCGGAGCGGAGGAGCGGCGCGGGCGCGCGGCGTGGCCCCTCGGTCGTGGGCCCTCGGGCTGGCCCGAAGCCCCCGGCCGCCCCTCCGAGGTGGAGGCTCGGCTGGCGCCGCGGAGGCGCTGCCCCCTCGTCCTTTCGGGGGCGGCAGAGAGGGGGGTGTCCAAGAGGGGGGGGTGCAGATCATGACCGGCGGCGTGTGCGCGGCCCAGCGGGGGGGCCAGGGACGTAACGAAAGAAGAAGAGGCGCCATGAAGTCTGGGGAACTATCATGCCCCCCGCCATGATATCCACCCCCCCCTAGTCATCACCCCCCTCTTTTCTGCCCCCTCGTCTTTGAAATGTTCCCCACGAAGTCTTTGAACGCCCCAGGGCGCTGGGACTCTGGGAGGGGACCCTGCAGGGGAGAGGGGCCCAGACATGCGACGCCCGGAAGCTCTCCTCTCCTCTCCTGTCCTCTCCCCTCCTCTCCTCTCCTCTCCTCTCCTCTCCTCTCCTCACTCCTCCTCCCACCTCCCTCCTTCCATCCTTGCCTCTGCCATCCGCATGTCTCTGCTTCGGCACACACCTCATGAAGATCGTGGCCGGCCCAGGGGGCTCCACCGAAGGCCCCACCATTTTCGGCACTACTCTCCCACGTTTCGCGGCCCCATAGGGAGCTGCACGGTCACAACGGCCGTCATCAAATGCGTCTCCTCCACATCCCGCATGCGGTACCCGCCCCATGCTGGCACACACCTCACGCGGTTCGCTCGCGTCACGCGGTTCGCGGCCCCATGGGAAATTCCCCCTCTTTTTGTCCCGCCTGCCGTGCGGTACTCCCAACTGCATATGCTTGTGTCCTTCGCCCATTTATTTGTTTTTCTTATATGTGTTCCCCGGAAGTGCCGACCCTTTCCCTGGGACCAACTTTTCATCCTGAGTCGTCTTTGGACGGTCCCAAGGCCTGGTGAGGGCCCCCAGAAACCGAAAACGACGAACAACCTCCCGTCATGAC